CATCTTTAATTTCTATAGGATCTTTATCAGATAAAACAATATTATCTCTATCTGAAAAAAGATGCTATAGAAATCTATAACATAATGCATAATTATCATTACAAGGCTTATGAATTTGAGTATATCTAATACACTGATTTGGATAAGATATTTGTATATTAAATTGTAATGAAGGGCAGTTTTAAGTGGTTTCCCACTTTTCATAATAAAGAAAAATTTTTTTGCAAGCTGCTTTGTTTAAAGCATATGTATTATATGTAGTTCAAGTTGTTTTTTACTTATTATTTAAAAACATTAGATAATTTCAAAGAAAATTATCTTAAAAAGTAAATTTATAATAAATTACTCAAGGAAAATTTAAATATATTAGAATTTTAAAAAATACTGATCTAATTTTTTAGAGTTTACTATAATTATTAATATATAAGTGATAGTTTTTAGCAGATGTTCTGATTGGTACTGAGAAGGGGTAATAAAGAGCTTGAAATAAGGTATAGTATGAGTAAGCATTTTAACCTGTTGATGGCAGCTATTAAACTATTAGTAGATCTAGATTACCATTTAGGTTAATTTTTGTCCAGTTTTCTTGCTTTAAATAGATAGTGATTGATAAAGATTTTGAGATAAGTTATTGTCTCAGATAAGCAGATAACAGTTATATAAATGATATAATTTTTAAAAAAGAATTGTTACTTGAAGCCTTATCATAATAATGCCAATACCTTTAGTAGATTAATAAATCAGATTTGATTGTTATACAGTTCTGCAGTTGATTTTAAATAATCTTGACAAGATAACTAATACATGCATATTTGATCAACTGGTTAAAATTCACTACTCAGATTTATTTCAGATCATTCAATATTAACAAGTATTATTTTTTATTATTGCTTGATCTATTTATTATAGCATTTAGAGAATACATATATGGAAATATTATTCACTATTACATAATATAAATAATAAACTTTAACTATAGAGTAATTACTAATATAAATAAACAGATAGTTATTGCACATGAGATAGGTAATTAGTGTAAGACACTGATAGCAAAAAGAGAATCATTTAGTGAATTGAATACTAAATAATAAAATTATTAAACAAATGATAATTAATACTTAATTTAGTGTGCAAGGCTTTACAGTCTTCTTCATTAAAAAACTTGGATTAGCTGATGTCAAACAATAAAGGAGAGCTCTTAATCTTTTATTTGGTGAACCTTAATCCCAATCAAGTGGTCAATTAGCTGTATATACAGTCTTAAGCCATATTTAAATAATTTTCAAGCAGTTATTGCACTGTTCTTGCAGTCTTGAAGCCATGAAAAAGTATTATTGATAACTTAGAACAGCACTGGCTGAGTATAATAATCAAGCTGTAGTTATTTGTTTAATAGCTTAGAAATTATCTTTATGTGATAGGTTAGGTAGGAGCATATAGCTGGCCTACAATCTTATAGTAAGTGATAGTAAAACCAAAATGAAAAATAAAGTTTACAACTAATTCATTCATAATGAATCCTGTGATCTTGCAATAATGCTAGCTACATCACTTTGTTAACTAGCCAGTCAATTACATCATTCTGGCCTATATAAAATATTATAAAAAAGATATTTTTAGAATAATATCAAATTTATTAAAACAATATCATATGGTCTGGAATGAATTTGGGTAGTGAATTTTATCCAATTTGTTTAATTCATACTAATACTTATATATGTATCAAGAACACCCATTCAAACTTCTAAATCTCACAAACTCCTGTGATGAAACTACAGATCATTTGCTAGTACATTAAATTATAAATTAAAAATAAAATATCTACAATAATCTGCTAGGATAATTACTAGAATTAAACATACTTTATGTTTATTATAAAGAATTATACAAGTTTCTGATAACTGTTTTTTTAGAAATAAATATAAGTAATTTATTAGCATATTTTAAACTAATAAAAATTTTTGTTTGAATAATAGTGTTACAGCAGGGAGGCCTTCTTTAACTCCTTAATATAACAATGACACAGCTACAGGAATTCTTTACAGGCTTATAGCTATATCCAAGAGGGAAGTATAGTAGCTTTAACTATTTAGCAACTATATCCTTCTCTGGGTAGTTCGGTTAAGACAATACAATAGTTTATAACTTTATTAACTTGGAAGCAATAGATCTTGTCTGTAGGAATTACCCTAGAGAAGAAATATCAATATAATTTATAGATAAAGATAATAACTTTATTAAAGGAATAAGGCTATTCATTAGGTTTCTGTTTCTAAGAAATCCTTTTTACACTTTACAGGAGTTACTAACTAAAAGGTAGAAAGAGAAGGGTGTCTGTGACTTGCTTGATTTGGAGAAATTCTTGGGGTTTTTATATCTGTTAACAATTGTTAAAGCTAAGTATCAAAGCTTAATAATTATTAGAGCAAAGCATTAGACATTAGGTGTCAAACATCAAGCATCAAGCATCAAGTATCAAGCATTAAGCATCAAGCATTAAGTGTCAAGCATCAAGTGTCAAGTGTCAAATGCTATATTTGTTCTACCTACTATAACTAAATAATAATAATAATAATAACTAATAATAATAATAATGCAAACAATTAATAAAATACACATTTATGAAACTATACTAAAATATAATAATAAAATTCGTTCTATAACAATAGTAATAGGTTTCTAATATCTATTTTTCTGAAGTATTAGGAAAATTATGAAATATTAAAAAATTACAAATTTTTCAGCATTGAAGTTTGTTTTGATTGGCTGAAATTAGAATAAATATGATTGGTGATGATCTTTTTTTTTATACAATTGATTATAATTTTTAAAGTACTTTTATAAGTAAAAATCATCGTGATAAATTGTAATTTTTTAATATTTCATAATTTTCCCAATACTCTGGGAAAATAGATATTAGAAACCTATTACTATTATTCAAACAAAAACTTTATTAGCTTAAAAATATGCTAATAAATTTTTTTTTAAATATATATATTGTGAGGCCAGAATTCAAAAAATTTGTTGCTCAGTTATTTCAGTCTTTGTGTTACATTTGGGTGGGTTTGGTGGATGGATTTGGCGAGGAGCTTAGATGATTCAGTTTAGTCTTCTGTATGTCAAGACTAATCAACAATAGTTTATATCATCAATAGTATATTAGGACAATTAACAAAGGTTCTGGGTAGACTAACTACTAATAGCACAAAACAAACTCAGATTATCCTAGTATGTCAAAATAACCAGTCAATGAGTTTCTTTTTAATTATATATTATATTTATTAAACTACCTAATACTTCTAAATGATCTAAAGTATCTAAACTACATAAGTACTCTATATGACCCAAACTATTTAAAATACCTAAAAAACTACTAAGACAGATGTGGATGTACAAAATCTTGGATCTGATTGGATGATCGATCCTTGTGACTTTATCTGAATTGCATCGATATCATGCTTGTATTTTAAAGTGTCTAGACTTTATTATTTAGTCATTGATTTAAACACAGGCCCTTACTATTTATTATAGTAGCTTTTGGATTGTTATGTTTCTCATAGTATTACCTGGTTTACACAAGATTCTACCTGTATTATCAATTTTTTATACAGCATTTTTACTATTTTATGCATTTTGTTTTCATTAATATTTCTTATTTCGTTTTCACATGATTTAGAGTTGTGCGAAATAGCGCTTGCCATTATAATGGTTTACTTTTTAATGTTAATATATGTAAATATTGTATTGTATAATTGTATAAAAATTTGTAATTTACGGCTACGATAAATATTCTATAATCTATGATTATCGATTACTCTATTTAGAAATACACATACATACACCTGTTATTTTCGAGGTTAAATATAATTAGCAATCGTGTACATTTCAATGATTGTAATTACATACAATTGGACTAATAATGTAATCATTTTGTTCTAAGGTATTTTCTAATGCATGATTAATAATGTAGCGATATAATAGTGTTATTATTACCTGTTGATATTTTTTCGTGTTGCCATTTAATATCAATGATGCTTATATCATTAAGGCTTTTGAGTTGATTGAATATTATATGATCCTTGTTTGAAAATGTGCGTTTCCTTAAATTAGATTTATTGATTTATCATAATGTGATTTTATGTATTATCTAACGTACATTGCTAGTAAACTAAATATATATATATTGCTATTTAAAGCTGTCTCATAACATGTATATTTGCATTATCAGTCAAAGTACATATTTTTTATAAAAAGGTCAAAATTCTGTTGCGATAGTCATGTTGTAGGTAAAAATTTATTTAAGTCAATTTAGAATTTCTTAGTTAAATTAAGTTAAAGTTAGAGTATACATATAATAAAATCAACAACAAAATTAAGTTTATACATAAATTCTGAATCCACTTTAATTCGTTTCTGCTTATAACATAAATATCCTATAAGATTTGAGTTATTTAATATATTAACTATTTCCATATCGCTACAACCTATATATTTACTAATTTCAATACCAATACTTTTACGTCTACTGTTCCTGGTTTTGCATAACAACATTGTGCAGCTATCTTATTATATTAATGCTAGCCTGATATTATGGTAATACTAGTCCGAATAATCTTATTTGGGATCATATTAAAAATCTTATGCATGCCCATCTCTAACTATAATGTATTTCAAATGTATTACAATATATTAATGATATGCTATATCAGTTCTCGCTTGTACATTACTTTGACTATTTGTTAACTACTGTATCTGGTTTCTAGTACAATTGCATTGCGCAGCTACATTATTTAATATATTATGCACTTGAGAAGGTTTGACTGTAAGCTATTTGAGTATAAGTTTTGAATTTTACTTATCATGCATAATTGTTCTGGTCTATGCAGCATCAAATGCTGCATAATTACTTATATTTATTTATTCAGATACTATAAATCTATAAATTTATAAATAAAAACAAAAATAAAAATTATATTGATAACTTCTAAATTATAAAAATATTATTCAAAAAAGTTATCATCAAATTCATTCATTACTTCATCAACATTAAAATTCTTATTACCAAGAAAAGTATCATTATGCATATTGTTTAAAATAGTAGTGTTATTTTGTTGAAGCTGCAAATTAAATAATTCATATTGTAAATTCATAGTATTATCAATATCTAATTGATCTTCTGGTAATATGTTAGAATATAATTCATTTATTTCATTTAAATTATTATTGTTTTCAACTAATAAAAATTCTTCATCTTCATTAAATTGGTTCATATTACTTACCATGTACTTAATTTCCTCTTCTGTTACTTCATCTAATAAATATTTTAATTCATTTTGTGAATTTGTTACATACCATGAATAGACTTTGGCCATTGATTCTAAGCAAGTAATATTTAATCTGTCTCAGTGATTTTCACTAAACCATTTTAAAGTTGAATGAATTTACTCACAACTAGCATTTTGAGGTCTCAAATTCAGTATTTTAGATGCTAGTTTTTCAATATGATTTGGTTGAATTTCAAGAGTAAGCCACCAAGTAAATATATCATCTTGTTCATTCTATGCCATATCAAATGGTAGTTTATATTCTTTATATTTTTTCATTTGTATTATTAGTTCTTTGGCAGATTTATCACATTGATTCATTTCTTTCCAATGGTTCAATGCAAAAATACATAATTCTCGAAATATTCCTGTTTTAAATGCATTAGCTAAATTTTATAAATAAATAAACTTTAATATTAATTAAATAAATTATTATAATAAATGTTATGACTGATGCTTAAAATCAGCTAATGCTTAAAATTTTAATTAATTTAATATAAAATTTTCAAAAATTTTTGATCTGCATTTTTTTAGTTTTTTTTATAGTTAAATTAAAGTTTAGAATTAGTTTAATAATGAAAAAGTATAAGTGAATTTTGGTAGAGTTTATATTTTAAATTGAGGTTCTTGATTTCAAGCATCAGCTGTGAGATAAATTTTAAATAAAAACTTACCACGATACTTAGGATGAAAAAAAAAAACTAACATATATAGTGTTTTATCAAGTGCTCTCCACCTTTTATTAAATATAGCAAAACATTTTTTCTTAAATTCAATATTAAGTTCATTAGATAAATTTTTAAGAGCAGAAGCCATTGTTATAAGCTGAATATAACAATCAATTAAATTTGTTGATTTGTGTTCAAGGCAAAGTATAGCTTTCTTAATTGGTGCTAAAACTTTTGTTAATTCAGTTATCTTCAAAAAAAAATTACTATCTAGAATTATTTCTCTAATAGTTTGATTAATTTTATCTGAATAATGTTCTAAAAGCTTTAAATAAAGTTTTATATAAATATATATATTATGTATAAAAATAAATATAATAATATTTAATAAACCTTACCACTATAAATACTTGTTCTAACTTAATAATAGTAAAAGTACAATCATAATAAGTTGTCCATCTTGTTTTATAAGCCATTTTTAAGCCGCCACCAGTTATGAGCATATTTTTAATTATATTATTTAATAAATCTCCTGCTATATGAGATTTTTTAAAATAAGATACTATACTATTACATTTAGAAATTAGATTTGAAATATAAGATGAACAACAAATATCATAACTAATTAAATGTAATTGATGTGCAATACAATGTAGTATAATTATTGAGGGATATTTATTTTGAATTATATTTTTAGCTAATTTTATTGAAGATGCGCTATCAGAAACTAGACCTATAAATTTAGTAACTCCAATTTGATTAAGAACTTGTTCAATTTCAGATGCTAAAAAGTCACCTGTATGTGAATAGCTTGAAAAATTTTTGACTGAATATAAATATTCTTTTTGATTATCAGGCGATATTATAATAAATGAATATATTGATTGACCCTTTGAATTAGTCCATCCATCAAGACCTATTTAATTATAAATTAAAAATAATTATTAAATTAATTTAGATTTATAAATAATATATTTCAAAAAATAACTATTTATAAATATTAAAAAATATAATATATATTACCTAGTGTCAAGTTTTGTAAATTTTTTATTTCACTATCCATTTTGATTGTAATTTTTGCTACTTCTATATGTAATAATTTTATAGAAAGAGTAGAACAACTTGGTGGACTATATTTATTATTTAATGATTTTAACAAATCAATAAAAAAAGGATTTTCGATAACTGAAAATGAAATTCTACAGCAAATAAAAGCTCTAAGTAATGCACAATTAATTTGAGAATTAGTATATTTATTTATATTAATAAATTCTGATCTTTTATGCTTATTTGTTGTTAAAATTAATTCATCATAGTCTAATATATTTTTATCTCTTGTTGCAATTATTTGTATCCATTCTTGCTTAATTTCAGCTAGAATGGATTGAATATCTTCAGCACACTCAAATGCTATATGAACTTCCATTTTATAAGGATTTCCTCAAGAAAATTGTATATTACAATATTTACATATTGCTGAAGCATGTCCTTTTGAACTTCGTTCACCTTCAATAAAATGGATCCAAATTTTTTTGGCTTTGCACCTGATTTTTTGTATTTATTAATTAATATATCTATAGTTGATACTGATGAAGTTGATGATAATTGTTCGTTTAATGACATTTTTTGAATTAGATTTACTTGTAAACTACTTTATTATACTTATAAACTATTTATAAATAATGCATTGTTATTATATTAATTAAGTTTCAAATATAATAAAAAAAAATTATATAATTAAAGTTATAATTTAATATAATAATATATTTTTATAATCAGCATAAATGAATTACTTAATTTATTATTTATACAAAATTTATATGCACAAAAAAGGCTAATACTAAAGCTTAATAGAACCAATAAAGCTTTGAATTAATTTAATAATTAGTAGCTTATTGACTTTATTTAAGACTTTATTAAGCCACTAGTAATATTTATTCTTGATGCTAATTAACTATATAAAGTTAATAATAGTGCTGAAATGCTGGTTGAGATTTTTATTTTAATTCATCATAGTAATTGAACATTATTACAACTACTAGCAAATTATAATAACATTTATATTTATGCATATTTTCAATAATTTTTTTATTTGCAATATAGATGTTCATTTAAAATATTATATAAATAAGATATATATTTATTTATTGATAGTATCTTAACAATTACTAAATTAATTTTTTACTAAATAAGCACTTACTTACATATTAATTAATTGGTCTGCAAGTTATTTAGATATTTCAATAAAATTTAAAATCCAATAAAATTTTGTGAACTATTATAAAGATTTCTTCGAAACAATTAAGTAGCATCTTATAACTAGCAAATCAGATCAAAAAACTCCTTTAGAGCAATCTAACTCATAAAGTTATTGTATTGAGCCAATTATTAATAATTCTATTCTTAGCTTAGCATGCATCTTAAAGTAAATAATTATAGAAAAAGCTGTATTATTTATTAATAATTATTTTATTAATAGCTCATTTAGCCAACATTACATCAAGTGATAATTTACTAAAAATATATTTATAACCCTATATGAATGAGCTGTCAATAAAATGATTGTTGTTAAAATAAATAGCATTATTAAAATATTAATTATATAATAAGATGCTGCATTAAGTAGTTATATGAGAATTTGAACCGAAAGCAAATATAGTAGTTAAAAAATAGTTTAAATAATATACAAATAAGTGCATCTTATTAATATATTGTCAAATATTTAATATATAAGTAGTTACACAATGCAGTTGCACAAAACTAAAAACAGGAGAAATCTATTCAAACATCTTAAGTTACAAAAAAATATATTCTTTATTGCAATGCATTCCTGATATAAAAAAATAACTTTTTATAAAAGAAGTTAATAGTACTTGCAATCCGAATATAGGTTTGAATTTCATTAAAAATTTATTAATAAAGTCAATGTTTAACTACTATATAGTGTCACTTAGTTCTAATAAATTTAATCCAAAATTTAAATCTACAAAATATAATTTAATACTTATTATATATTTAAAAATAACTGATAAATTCTTTTGATTAAGCCTTTGACGATCAGTAATTATTATTTTATTACATAATACAATGAAAAAAAATAAAAATTACCAAATATTAGTATTAGCATTGAGATGTTTAAATTTATATTATATTACTAATTTGTGTCTAATAAAATTATTTTTACTATTGTTCATTATCGCAGATTTGATTTTATAAATATATGCACTCATTCATAAATTTTTTTTTAGATATTAAACAATAATTAAGTTATATAGACCAATTAATTTCAAGATTTTGTACACAAAAGCATTCATTTCTAATACTTACTTTTAAAGTATTATTCAAAGTATTATACAAAGTTCAATAACAGATAACTCAATAATATGCTGAGAATCGCACATACTATTTCACTTATAAATAAACTATACTCTATATACTTTATATATTGTTTCTTGTATAGCAAATATATAAAGCTCTTATAAGTTAGAACTAAGTTATACTATGCATTTAAAAGAGCTTTTTATATAATATGCATTTAAAAAAGCCTGACTGTAATGCCAAACTTGTTCATTTCTTCTTTATATCTAAATAGAAATTATTGATATTAATTAATTTACTTCGAATAATCAAATTTAGTATTAAAAATGATTTGAATTCTTATCAAAAAAGAGTAATATAAATTGATATCTTAAATTAGTTTATAATTTTAACTTTGCAATTTGTAAAAATATACTATATTAAAATATTAAACATTATTTTAAATTTTTTGTTAGCCTAAACTAATAGAATAATTGACAACTGAATAAGCTCTATTAATAAAGAATAATTCAATACTATATTAATAATTTTGTATTTATAGCATTTATGTGTTTATTTTTTTTATAAATTAAGTAATGATTAACTTTTTTTTAATTATAATAACTTTAAATTTTTTGAACAAAAAAATGTCATTTCATATTGCTTTACTTATTATTATTACTACTGTAAAAAATAATAGCTTGTGCTTATATAGCCTTGCTAAATACAAAATTTCTGAACAAACTTTTTATACTATTAAGTAAAAATACTTTGTTACAGATGGACCATCTCAACTGTTTGCTCCTGGTAACTTAATATTTATTTCAGAAAAATTTATTATTGAAAATTCAGAACAGTGTATGTCTATTGCATATGCTACTAATATTAGTAATGAAAATTCTAATTATGAATTTGAATTTACTAGTATTCCAATTTGTATTCCTCATTGTATGTTTTATATTCTTGTTAATTGTACTCCTAAACAAACTGAAGGATTTATTCATTTTGGTGTTGAATGTATATAATATAATTCTATTACTGGGTCTTCTAATGTTAGAATGGAAATGAATGTTCTTTATCCTTCCAATTCTATAAAATTTAAACATTTGGGATTTTTAGGATCTAATATTAAAGTAGGAAATACCTACCTTGTATCAGGTCTATTCAAATTTTCAAACTCTGGAAAAATGATGATAGAAGCAACTGATATTGATTACTCAAAATCATTTTTTTTAAATTCTAATATATCAAGAATTTCTTCTTCTATGTCTTCAAACTCTCGTTCAATTATTGATATTATAGCAGATGATATTGATTGTTTGACTGATCAATCATCTAAAAAATCTTCTTCTACTGAACATGACAATAACTTAACTTCTAATTTATCTAAAACATTACCAACTTTAACTATTGTTGATGACAAAATTAATTTATCACTTAAAGATAAAAATTATATAAACCTAAATATAGAAAATAGTGACAAAGAACAGAATTCTAATGATGAATATAATAATATAGATAAAAATAATCAAGATGATAGTAACCAGCCTAAAAAAAGAAAAAGAAGTTTAAGAATAATTAAGAATAAAGAGAAACAAATCTTGCGAAAATAAAAAATATATACTTAGCTTGTTTGCTTAAAATAAAATAGAAAACATTATGTTTTTATAATAGCAAGTAATCAGTATATCAGAATGTTCATATATTAGATTTACATACTTATTGTCAAATTAGTACTATAGGTGACACATTTATGCCACCCATCTTATTTGTTTTTTTTATTAAAAACTCTTATTTTTAAAATAAACAGAACTAAACTCTATACTCACGCTGGTAATTTATTGAATAATTAAATGATTACAGTTAATCATACATTCAGTGAACAGAATCAAACTTTATACTTATGCTAGTAATTTATTAAATAATTAAATAATTACAGTTAATCATATTTTCTCTTGAAACACAATAGTTTAAGTAAACAGAATTAAACTTCATTCTATACTGTTAACTTATTAATGATTAAATGATTATGATTAGTTATACACTCTTAAAACCTAGATATTAAAGTGAACAGAATTAAACTTTATACTCATGCTGATGATTTATTGAATGATTAGATGATTATGATCAATAATACATTTTTTTAAAATACAAATGTCAAAGTGAATAGAATTAAACTTCATACTCGCTAGTAATTTATTAAATAATTACGTTAATCATATATTCTCTTGAAACACAAATATTAAAATAAACAGAATCAAACTTTATACTCACATTAATGATTTATTAAAAAATTGCTTACATCTAATAATACATTTTTTTGAAAAGCAAATGTTAAAGTAAACAGAATTAAACTTTATACTCATGCTGAACAATTGAATGATTATAGTAAATAATATATTCTCTTGAAAAACAATTGTTAAAGTAAACAGAATTAACCTTCATACTCTGGTAAATTATTGAATAATTAAATGATTATGGTTAATCATATACTTTTTTGAAATGCAATCATTAAAGTGAACAGAATTAACCTTTATACTTACCCTGGTTTATTGAATAGTTAAATTGTTATGGTTAGTCAAAGGCAATGGCAAATAATTTTTTGGATAACATGATAACCTGATAATTTATTATATGTGGCTTGTAAACTTTTGTTTGATTAGCTAATGTGAATCAATTGCCTATAGTATATTCACAATATATTAATGACTATTTGTTAACTCTATATTTACTTTTGTTCCTAGTTTCCAGCATGACTGCATCGCACAGCTACCTTATATCAAGAATAAATGTAATGAGTACCAGGAGCAAATGTAATGAGTATTACAGGTTAATTAGCTAAAAACAATATTCGTTAAAGTCCTCTTAACATGCTCTTTAAAGTAATAACATTCTTTTTTTTACTTTGCCTAAGTTTTATTAGAGTTTATAATTAATTTTAATAAATTTTCACTATTAAAAAGTTAATTTATAAAGAAAAAATTAATATGTTATCTATGCTATATAGAGTAACACCCTAATCAAGAATGTAATTTTTGATGCAGTTAATGATCTACAATCTACAATTCTACAAGTGTAGAATTGTAGAATTACTAATTTAGTATATGATCATCAATTCTACAATTCTACATTGTAGAATTGAAGAAATTACATTATTTCTACAATCATATGCATGTAGAATTGTAGAATTACTAAAATTATTCATGATCAACAATTCTACATTTGTAGAATTAATTCTACAAATGTAGAATTAATCCCCCCATCTATATACATAACACAGCATATTACATACTGAGAGGTCCTAAATCGGCGAGTCTGTCGCTAATCGAAGGTCGGCTTCATGTAACATTCGGATGGCTTTCAGTCGAAAGAGGTGTGTAGATTTGGCGAGTGATTTCGATTCGGGTCTGGCTTATCCTGGATAGTCTACACTACGTCGAGACTATTATTCTAATTCTTCTAACACTGCAGTATTTCACACTATGTTGGGAATTACTGTACAATCGGGTTGGGATTTACTACTATCATGGGTTAGGTTTATTCTTTAACAATGATTCTCTATAGTCACTTGTAGACGAACTCTTAATTTGATATTTGTAAGATAGGGGGAATCCACTTTATTATTTGGGCGAAACTACATGTTATTTATAACTAATTCTCTATTTATTTTTAGGGTGCTGATAATCATTATAGTGATTATAATGATTATAATACTTGTATTGATTATAATAATTATAATCAATATAAGCAATATAAGCAATATAATCAATATAATCATTATAAGTGGTTATCCCAAGTATAGTAAGAGATCTTCATACTCCAGTTGGGGCATAACTTGAGGTCGAACGGCAAAGATCCATGATGAAATCGGCCACTTGTGGATCATGAATTTCAGGTCTAACAATACTATGTCATGACCTGGACCATAATTGTCTTCATGGCTGTGACACCGTTTTGGCAATCTAAAAAGTAGATAACATATTTACTTTTTGGATTCTGAAATCAAGTTTATTAGATATGTTAAAAGAAATAAGCTAAAATATTAATAATTTATTATTGTTACACTATATATATAATTTTAATCTACAGTGATCTTTTTAAAATATATATGGGCTAACTCAAAACAATGCAAACAATAAGTATATGTTAGTATTTGATAAATTTACCCTCTCCAATTTTTTATTCCGATTGCTGAATATCCCTGCCACTTTTCCTTTTAAACTGGAACAGTAATGATCATCGTCTAAAAATTTTATATGTTCTATATGTTCTAAATGTTTCAAATGTTTTAAACTTCTGTGCTACTGGAATGTTTGCACATTAAAATATTTGGAATGTTTTGATCAAGCCCCCAGGATTTTTTATCATACTTAGGTTGTATTTATATATTTTTTAATCATGTGATCTCTACTTTAATGAAGCGTGATTTGCCTTTGTTTCGATTGGTTGTTTAATGCTATTTAAAAAATATATAATCTTAACTACTTATGTAGGTTCTTTTGGCAAAATACCAGGAAATAAAAGAGGATTAAACTGTCATTTGATTTTCATGTTTAAATAATTAATAATGTTAATATTTAGGATCTGATAGACCTAGTCATGCCTTATGATTGATTCGTTAGTATGAGGCATAGTCGCTAAGTTTAATTTTGTCTATAGGCTGCAAACCGGTTTTGCAGAAGGCTGTGAAATATAACTGAAAATTACAAGTAATAACATGATGATGATCCATGATTTTAACTGATTGAAACATTTGTTGATTCTTAAAATCGATTCATATATCAATATACGTAATTAAATTAATCTTTCTTAATAAGGTATTATTGATAATTTTATTTTTATAGTACTTGCTTTTTTGTTTTTTTTTAAATTGAATATTAATTTTCATTATATTATATTAAGTTCTATCATATGCATTCCTTATTTTTGTTAGGTGAATTTTTATGTCCCTTCTATCTTGGTGTTCTTTACTTACTAATTTGATTGTCAATGTTAATAGTATTATTATTGTTATAATTATGTTAGAAATTTCTATTCTTGTTAAATTTTTAGAAATATAGACAAACTGGTTTAATTTACTTTTTTAATTAAAATTCTAAAATTTAAAGATAAAATATTATGAAGACTTTTTCTATTTGCATATTGAGATACTATCAAACATTTATTATTAGTTGTGTCTTAAGTTAGTCTATATACTTAAAGATTATTATCCACTAAGTATAACTTTTAAACTTATTAATTTAAAAAAAAATTTATATTGTTAATAGTTTATAATTTATTTATATTAGATTACAAATAAAACATTTTAACATACTTCTCTTAGAAAGTTCATTTGTGAACTAGGTAAAGTTTTAAATATTACTATATATAATGTTGTACATTATTGTATGGCTTATTAGAAGTATATAAAACTGTTCTTTTACTAAATAATTGTATTATAGAAAATACAATGTCAAATCTTCCTTTACTAATTATTTGAATATTAATTAACTGTAAAAAGAATCTATTTAATTATATCTATATATTTTTTGTAACTTTAAGTTGAAATTTCTTAATACATTTGTTAATATCCTTTTTTTTACTTGCCTATCTTTGTATTGACTTTTGAAGGTTACATGTTTGGTATCAAATATAAGATGTATTATATTATTTGCAATTTGCACATGTCTCATTATTTATATCTTTTTTATTATAAAATTCATCAAATACTATCATATAATCATTATTTGAATTGTTTTGAATTAGTTCATATACTTTGAAATTAACTGTATATAATCTGTAAACTTATTAAAATTCTAATATATATTAAAACTATATATACAATTAAAATTCAAATATATATTAAAGCTATATATATAGTATCACAATGATAAATATTAATATTTTAGTTTACTTCTTTTAATATATCTGACAAATTTTATGTTTTATTTAATATTTTAAACTTTATATGATGGTATATGTGATTGTATATATTCATATTTATTATTTTCAATTCTATATTCATAATTTCAAATTCTATTTAACCTGATTGTTAAAACTTTATCTTCAATATTTTGAATATTAGCTAATCTATTAAAAGAAATTTATTCAATTATATTATAAAATTTCTTAATGCACTTATTGATATTCTTATTTTTGTTTGTTCATCCTTGTATTGTTTTCAGAAGGTAACATGTTTAATACCAAATATAAGATGTGTTCTATTACTTAAATTTTGTACATGTTTTATTATTTTTATTTATTTTAGAACCAAATTTGTTAAATACTAAAAGATATTCATTTGTTGTAATGTTTTAAGTTAAACTATAAATACATTTATTTTTAATTGATTCATTAATTGCTATATTAAATATACCAGAAATAAATTTAATAAGTGTACTAATTTTTTGAATAACCTGATAATCTGATAATTTATTATATAATGCTTTATAAATTTTTGTTTAATTAACAATGTAAATCAATTATCTATATTGTACATTAAATGTTTTACAATATATTAATAAGATACTAGATTAGTTCTTGTTTGTATATTACTTGAACTATTTGCTAACTACTATATTTGCTTTCATTCTTAGTTTCTAGCTTAACTACATAGCACAGTTACCTTATTAAA